TGAGACCTGCTGTTTGGACTAACACTTAACCTGGGTTTTCTTGTAACTCATCAACTATGATGACAAAACATGAGGTTAAGAACTCATTGTTGCCAGCATGACTGATGTTGGAGATACGATCTGATACCCTAACTATCAAGTGAAGTGGCCTCAAGACCACATGTGTAATAATTACCAGTGCAGGTGTGATCATTAATGACAGTTAGGGTAGATGCTTTAGCAAAGTGTTGGGTGGAGGCCCTTTGGATCACTTTTAGTTCTTCTGAATCTTTCATAAGACACTAATTTTCTTAATTAAATGTAGCACTTAACATTCTTCACCATATACATTCACTTTCCTTTATGCGTTGTTAGAAAGAGGGACTATAAGAGAGAACCACATGGAAAGTTTATCTTATTATTGAAAGTATGCTTAACCCATCCCCTAGCTACTCAGTCACTGGAAAACTCTTAACTACTTAATTGCTTTTAAATGGTGAGGCACTAGAACAGGTTGCCCAGAGAAGTTGTGGATGACCCGTCCCTGGAAGTGTTCAGGGCCAGGTTGGATGGGGCTTTGGGCAACCTGGTCTAGTGGAGGCTGTCCCTGCCCATGGCAGGGGGTTGGAACTAGATGATCTTTGAGGTTCCTTCCAAGCCAAACCATTCCATGATTATCTACAGTGATGAGGAGAAGTGCCAGTCTGAAAGACATTGAGGACAGTTGGTCACATGTTTTAAGTGATACAATGTCCAATCTTAGTTATCTGCGCTCCTCTTTAGTGTGAACTCATGACTGCAGGAATGATTAGCAGACTTAACAGAAGAATTAACTCACTGGCAGTCAGCACGACTCCAACTAAGAAGTAAGTCAAAGCAATAATTAAAGAGCCATTAATTTTATGATAATCACTAGTCTAGGTTCGTTAGAGCAGTCTTTTTCATGAATGGGGTGAGATCAGTTGATACAGTGCTGTATAGCAATGTTCTAATGACACGGAAAATCTCAGCTGAGATGCTGTGTCTGGTTTAAGCTGATCTCACAGAGCACATTCTCCAGACTCTGCTATTTACTGTATTAAAAAAATCATTCCTTTGACAGGGAAACTAACTTATCAAATGATGTTGAACACTTTTCCAGGAGCCCAAGGTAGCCCCTTGAAACCTGGCATACCTCACAAGGTTGAGTAAAATAGCAACTGTTGGACCGTTGCCATGCTCACATCCTTCATGGTCTGCTTTAATTAAGCAAACTAGGCAGCACACTCACTTCAGGAACACAGGAAGCATCAGTGTTTCTCATGTGGAAAACAAGTTTAACTTGAAAGCTTTCTGGAACTATTGCTAGTAATATGGGCCGGGCCAGACAATGTTGACAGACCTTCATATTGAAACCTCCTGGCCACACATTGAAAACTCTCACAGCATCATCATGAGTCGCCCAACATCTGATATTTTCAGAGCTTCAACTTCCAGTCATATTATTATGAGATAATTGTTTAAGTCCATTTATAGACTTGCTGGTCAAAGAGAAAAATTTGAAAACACAATCCATTAGATCTCAAAAGCAAAGAAGACCCCATTTTTAAAATTTATTTATTTATTTTAATCCCATTATTGTTAAGCAAATCTTGTGATCTGTGGGACTGTGTGACACTTATAATTTCCATGCATCCTTTATTAGGACGGTAAAAGTAAAAAAAAAAAGTAAAAAAAAAAAAGTTTCCCATGATGCCAGAGCTGTGCAATAAAGTAAAAAAAAAAAAAAAAGTTTTCCACGATGCCAGAGCTGTGCAATAAAGAAACCCCAATATTATCTTCTGGGTACTTGGGAGAATGTCAACAGTTAAGTAAGCATTAAGCAGAAATGCTTGAGAAGTCTCTGAATGAACCAGCCCTGGAAACAAAAGCAATGTAGACAAATCCAAGTAGCACTGTGCCCAGGCTGTGCTGTTTTGGAGAGTTAGGTTAGTATTTCCACATAGCGCTGGACTGTGCCATGCAGAGGTATCAATTCATCTGGAACTTTTTTGGGTGTCTCAGATACAGTAATGCATTGTGTAAGGTAGACACGTCTGCAGTCTTGCAAAGCCCTGGTTGCTGTGCAAAGCAAGAGTGATTGTAAATACTGCTTATTATTCACTAAGAGCCAAGAGCAATGAAAGTTTTTACAGAGCAAAGTGCACCGTTAACCCTGCTTTAGACCGTAGTGAATCTGCATCTCTCTTCTCTGCACTCCTTCCTAGGAATCTTGATTTTTCTCCCTGCTGCAAACCACATGAAACTCAAAACTCTTCGTTTTCTGGGCTTTCAAGTGGGAGTTGGGGAGAGACCCAGACCATGTTGATGGGCGATAATTTGCTACAGGCATAGGCCAGCTGAAACCAAAGTAATTTTTTATGAAGAATATAATAGAAAGATTCAAAGTCTAAATTGCAATTGAGTCTCTTCCAAAAATCTGCTATTGTCCATGAGTAGAAGTTTAAAAAACATACTGTTTTGGGAGGTGGTACAGATGTCATCATTGAGGTCTGTTGCTCAAAATTCCTGAAGGTCATCTTTTCAACTGCTATTGTGTATTTCAATTGATTAAACAAAACCAAAACATAAATCATCTTTTAAATTTCCGGTTTTTTTTCCTTGATAGTGTATTATTGCATTTTAAAAGGCAGAAGCATGGTTTAACTTAACCTAGATTCTCATCCAATAATATGTTTATAGATTAGATGGAGGAAATGCTCCCTATCCACAGAATAATAGATCACTAGTTTAAATTACTTGTCTTAAAAAGATCCTGATTCGGCTTTGCTGAGCATAAAATACTAGATTTACTGTTTATTTTTAGTGGATTGCTGCCAGTTTTCTTCTCCATGAGTGTCTTTAGATTGTTTAAAACATTAAAAAATGTTCACATTGAACATATATCTACTTACAAGAAATCTGTGTTGGTTTCTCAGCAGAGATGTAAAAGCTTGTTGTTGGGACATGAACTTTGCTGTTATGGAATTTTCCTTTCTTTATTGGCTTTATGGTTTGTTTGGTTTTTTTCCAAGCTCACAAGTGTGGCAAATTATTTTGCACTTATTTGGCTTATTAAATCTTAATAAAGTGAGAAAAAGGAATCCGATGAGAAAGCTTTAGGTGTCTCTTCAGGTTGTTGCATTCTGTTTAATTGGCAGAAATCCCTGACCTCATCCTTGTAAAAATCTTGTTATTTATACTTTCTGAAAAAATGGTGATAGGTCTGATTTTGATCAGCTCCATGGGTATAAATTAGAAAGTAACGGTGTCAATGGACTTGCATCTTTGTAACTTGAACCAAATTTGGCCTTTAAGACTATTCATCAACACAAAATACAAGCTAGTATAGACATTGTGATTGCAATTGTTTTTTCATAAGTAAAAGATTAAGAAGTCAAGCTCATGTGACAGATTTTTGGGACCAGGTCAGCGTAGTGTGTCTGGTGGCATTGGAGCACTTGCAATGTTTATTTGCATTTTGATGAAAGGGATATTCCATATTATTTCTGCAAATCCCCTGCATAAAGCAGTACACTCCCATGCCAAATTGAGTGCTCAGCACAAAATGCTGAGTTCATTGCAGGAATCTTAGATGACCCATACAAGGTCTTTTCTCTGCTCTTAGGAGCACCGTTTCAACAGGGAACAGGTAACTGACCCTGAGAAACTACAGCAACATACAGAGCCTGAGCGATGGGCTCTGAGTGTTCTTCAGCTGTCACTGGTCAAAAATTGCTATTCAATGCTAAAGAACAAAACAGCTCTTGACTGGAGGACACGTAAATGTCATAACAAAGATCTAGACTGATCCTTTGACTGTAAGGTGGATGCTTAGAAGCTGCATCACTTGCCTTTTTGCCTTAAACCACTTTCTTTAACACCAGGGACTGTATTGACATGACTTCCACTGCTTCTATAATTAATTTTTCTTTCCTTATAATGAATTAATAAATTGAGATTTTTTTTATTATGAAAAGGTCCTTATTAATGAACAGTTTCCCAGCTTTCTGGGACAGAGATGAAGAAACATGATTTGAAGGGATTCTGTAACAAAAATGTTTGCAGAAAAGAAGAAATCTGAGCTTGTAATGCCTGCAGAGCTGTAGACAGGAGTAAAGAATGAAAGGTTCTCACTTTGAATGCATTTAGACTCTAACACAACACAGAACAAGCCGAAACATAAGCACACTACCTCCTAGCTGACTTGTGACAGCTTATAATGAATGAGCGTGCTGCAGATTGAAGTGTCACATTAACGTGCTACAGCATAAGAAGTGAGTTTCATTGGCTTTATTCAATATATTTCTATCTGTGTCTGAAGTACTGAACTATCCATTTTGCTTGGAAATACATTTGGAAGTGGCAGAAGTTGAAATGTGTACTCTTTATAGGTATTAATAAAATCCCTTTTTTTTCTTTTTCTCTCTTCATCCCAAAAATAATAAGTGTAAGGTAGACTGGGTTCTGGCTTTGGAATTGGAAAGATTTCAGAAATATAAGTGTAGGAAGTCAACTGGCTATTTGGAAGTAACATTTGGAAACTTTATGTATAGACGAAAAAGAAAGGGGGGTGAGAAAATCCCATCAATAATATTTATGGAATTTTTGGTCCATTTCTGGATTAAGGGTACTTTATGAACTGCTATATCTTCGGTCAGTGAAGCAACCCCTGATTTTAGGTCCCTCTGCTGCCATCTTTCTATATATGAAATTCCTGTTACTTAAGGGAAAAGACTATGGGATCAGCTTACTGAGGAACATGCTTTATGAATTATGTTTCCTGACCTATCATTGTGTTAATAACGAAATATTGTGATAACTTAAATGCTTCCATTGCTCGACAACAGCTTATTTTCATGAGGAACATAGATGAATGTTTTTTTGTCTGTGTTGCATATACATCTGCCTCAGAACTGTGGATTTTTATATTTTGAACTGTCTCATTTTTTTCATCTCTGTCTAACACTCTTTTTTCCTCTGTCCTGTGTGAATACTTCTAGATGTTTGACTGGATCAGCCACAACAAAGAATTATTCCTGCAGAGTCACACGGAGATTGGCGTGAGCTACCAACATGCCCTTGACCTACAGACGCAGCACAATCACTTTGCCATGAATTCCATGGTGAGTTGAGGGTACAACGGGTCTGTGTGTGTGAGTGGGGAAAGGGCCGGCACGTGAGGCCACCTCCAGTTCAGAGACCACTATGAATTTGTGAGAGGTGAAGTAAGGAAGGTCAGGCTGGGCTCTGGCAGCAGCCCTCTTTCTGAGAAGCAGAGTGTTGGTCTGTCCACTCGGACACTGATACATGATTATTTCCTTGACTTAAGAGCAGCACAGTCCTGTGGAGTTTGTTTACATTTTGAAGAGCAAATACAATATTTTTTAAAGTTTTTGACATTTCTTTGACTGGGAGTTAATGAGAGCTGTAGGTGGCACCTTAAGAATTTATACTCCTTCCCCCACACCCTGCTAAGGTACTTTTCAAAACCTTGAAAAAGAGACACTAAGGAAGCTGTCACTTGTGGCCACAGTGGGACTTTGGCTTTTTTGGTAGTTAATTGGTCAGTCTTTTTGAACACAACTCAATTTACCTTAGCTTTTTTTTTTTTTTTTTTTTTTTAAAAAGAGCATCATTATACATTTATAAATGCTTTGCTCTCTTTCTTATTCTTTCCAGGCATAAGGTATTTGTTCTGGAAACTGCTCTGCTTTCAGCACAGAAATGAGGACAGAATGTATTGATGTTTTGATCGTTGCACTGGGTTAGAAAAATGCGTGCATACCTCCTGCTGCAATTGCACAATGCAGCGCTGAGCCCTCTCTGAGTGCTCTCTGTCATCTACACAAAAGCTTGCCCTGAGTAAACCAACTCCTACAGGTGTACCTCTTCATGCTGTGCATGGTCAGGCTACAGTTGCACTGGGGCTAAGACCTCAAAGGTGGCAGCTGACGTTTAAGGTGGTGGTGTAAGTCAGTAGAGCTCCACACCCTACTTGCCACCTAAGGGCAAGGTACTTGAGAGCAGCCGTCTGAAACGTAGAAAGAGGTCCTGGCTACTGGAGGTCGTTAAAGACCACACACTGCTTTCATAAGATTACAGGTGGTATTCTGGCCAAATTCCAGATCAGGTAATTAACTTCTCTGACCTAAATTCCACCCACCATTTCCACTTACCTAGCTATTGCTCACTAAAGCACCGTGCGTCACTAGGGCATTGTGTAACAGTGGAAGATGAGAAATGTTTATAATGTTTGTTAATATTTTTATTGTGATTATAATTGAAAGGAGGACTGAGAAACAGGCTCTAGGCACCTGATTGTTAAGCTTGCAATCACAATGCCATCTAACAGAATGCAAGATAGCATGGCCTCCATATGACACTGCTGCTCACAGAAACCTAACACATAAATGTGTCCTGAAGGTTAGTGCATTAAATTTCTTTTTTTTTTTTTTAAATGCAAGATGCAAAGTCAGTCGTAATTTTTCAGAAAACACCATTAGAAGAATCAAGCTGGAAGACCTCCCTTTATCCATTTTATGGTACTGTTTAGTATTATTTTCTTAGAATAACTGGGAGCTGAACTTGGAAAGAAGTAATTATTGTTAATAGAAAATTAACGAGTGACAGGGACGGTGCCACCTAATGGAAGAAAAATTATTTTCCTCCATTCTTCTTCTGTCTGTCCCCAAGTGAACTTTTGAGAATGAGAAATGCACTGTCTCCAGTATAACTCACACACATGTATAGTCATACAGAAGCCCATACAGTCAGCCTGTATCAATCTACAAAGAAGATTGTCTCCTCCATCTCTTTAGCATAGAGGATCTATGTGGAAGGGCATGAATACTGGGCATCTTTAACTTTCAACCTATAAGTGCGGTGAAAGATGGCACTTAATTCTGCATTAATTAATTGAACTGAATGGACTCAATGGAGGAACCCCACAATATAACAAATATGCCAAATAATATATATGTTTTCAGATAATCCTCTTTATAGGAATATAACTCAGAGACCAGTACACCTGTCTGTCATTTTCCATATACTACTTTTCTTTTAGCTTTAGTTGAATTTTAGATCTAGAATCCACTCTGATGATGGGGTGATGGCTTCCTTTTAGTTTTGGATCAACATCTGTTCATGCAGCAAAAAGGCACAGTTCATTCAACTTAGATTTCTATTTTAAAAAATTCTTGTGATATGCTGTCTCAGTGAGAACTTTTTAAAAAAATTCTTCAACAGATTTTGATTGTCAGAGGTTACATAAGGTGTTGTGGTATATTATTGACAGTATGGCAAAGTCAGGATAAAAAAAAGACTGTAGAAATATTTCAGGATATAGGTGCAACTCAGGGCTATACTTTTCTTTTTTGTTTTCTTTTTTTTTTTTTTTTAATCTACATGAGGCCTCCATGGTTTTTATCAGAAATATCAAGAGTTTTACTCAGTGCTTGAAATTCTTCATGATCAAATAGGTTTCTTGAGACTTTCCATATTGCTGAGAGGCCTGTATTTGGGCTATATGTCTGCACTATGGCCTTTCTAGAGGTGATTTCAATGCCAGGGTTGCACAGGCTGGCAAATGAGATGAATTTTATAGCCTAGTGAGGTTGCCTTGGGGAATTAAACAGGGCTGCTGCCTTGCAGAGGGCTGGGCATCCTATTTTTGGAATAGCAGACTTGGGGGGTATATCAAACTGAAAGGACATTTGGAAAGTAGTGGGAAAAGGGTAATAACCTTAAGCTGCAGGGTACTTGAACTAACCTGGAGCTGCTGCTCTTATGTTGGTATAGTGCTGCTGTCAGCAGTGGTGCTCTTTTTTTAGGTGGAACAGAGTCTTTGCTAGAAAAATGTGGAATGACTCCTGATGTCCCCAAAAGTCAGTATGGTGAATATGAGAGTGTTAGCATGCAGGAGATACCAGCTTGCTGCATAGGGCTGTTGAGTTGCATACTAGCCACTCCGTTTGCAGTATAACATGCAGGAGGAGCAAGAAGAGACCGAAACTAAAATGACCCTTTCCTGGCCACAGCCCAGCTCCTGTGGTAGATGGTAGTTTTGTCTCTTGGCACGTACAAGAACTCTATGCAAGCCTGTGTGGAGACACTCTGTAGTAAGGATGAAGCCCTGCATTTGTTCAGGGCAAGAGCCAGTGATGGTCAGCAATGGACTCAGGACAGATCGACTTAGTTGAACGAAGCTAAACCAGAGAAAATTGGGAGATGACTCTAGTAAGACATTACATACCCCAAGCCTACACAGCAATCTAAGCCATACTTTGGTTGTCGGGGAAGTGGGGCTAGAAATATGGATCAGGTCTGTTTCATGTGAAGCAACACTTTGGTGAAGGAGACTAAAAGTCAAAAGATTTTTTTTATATAAGTCTTTTGAACTAGATCATACTGTAAACTTTTTCTCTGAGAATTTGCTTTATAATTGTGATACTAAAAATCTGCTTTATAATTTGGGTAGATCTTTTTTTATGCAACATATTAGTCCCAGCAACAGTTGGATTGAGAATAGTTCAGCTATCATGAATCTGAGCAACGAAATAATGAAAACTTGAAGCACTCTTATTGGGACTTGCAGTTGTTTATGGCTTCGGGGATTGTTTTGTCAATACATTAAAATCAGTATTGAGAGAAGATATGAAGAAGGACAATGTAGCTGAGGATGGCTGTATGTTTTGCAGGGAAAAACCCTAGAAACTTCAGTGGAAGTTGGATCAGATCTTGGATATCTAAGGTGTTTTGTTTTATTTTTTTTTTCTTTACACTATGCCTAGTGTCCTTTAAGCCTGGCATGACTGATAATAGTTAAAATATTCTCTTCAGTTCCTCTAGAAAATACACTTTCCAAATGTTTATTGGGTCATGCCTTTCGTTGCATGCTCTTCCTATACATATCTGTAGGCATGCTGTGACCAAAGCTCCTTCTTGGAAAAACAATTTGTTTCTCTGTTTTTTACAATAATAATTCTTCCTTTCAAATGAACAATGTGGGATGTGGAGAAGTCATGTATTTGAGGTAGTAAACTGTAGTGTGGTATTTTTCTTTCAAATAAGAACCATAGATAGTTTTTTTTCTGTGATTCAAAGCTGTGCTTGTTTTCACTTGTTTCAAAATAAATTATGTTAGGCTTTATCACAGCTGTATAATGTTTATACTAAAGCAATAATACTTTTCACAAAGATGAATATTTAGCTCCAACATTTTTTGTGAGTAATCCCAATAATGTAGTAAATTCACTAGAGAAAAAAATGCAATGTTTCAATATGACACAAAGCATACTGGTTGTTACTGTGCATTTGGATACATGGTGTACGTGCCATTTGTTCTGACAGAAATTATTCGTATTTCCTTTGCCAAGACTTTTTTATACCTGGATCCGTTAACCTCCTTAAAGAGTGAGTTATCACTTTCGGTGGAACATTCATAAAAATGGCAGTGTTCAGTGCTGGCATTGCTGCCTATCTTGCTGTCCAGGAGTTAGCTGTCTGATACTAGATGGAGATGCATGTTGTCCTAAGAAAGTCGCAATATATTTCAAACACGTTACAATTATCATGTAAAGGCTAATGATGTCTGTTGAATATTCCCAGTGTTTGTCTTAAATGAATGGTATTTTTCTGTATGTAGGGTGAACTAAAATGCCATCCAATATTATTTTGCAACAGGATACATGTAATTGGCCTTGTAATAGAAAGTTAAAGGTCTTAAAGATATCTCATAAGTTTATTTGGCACTAATACATTCTGCTTTGGATTTATGTGTTAGATTCATTTCACAGATGGTTTCTCTAAACTCAGTAACCCAGTGCAAGCTGGTTATTTATTTTATTTTATTTTAAAGAAGAACTCTTCAACAATCAAATTTCACCTTCAATTAATCTGCAAAACCCTTCTCTTGCAGCCCACCTTCACTGCTTGCCATCACAATATCTCAACTAGTTCTTTAGGAAATGAGATGAGCACAGCCAAGTTCCTTGCAGATTTAATGCTTCTCACTGCTCATTTTTCTTTTGTGAGTGTAAGGTATTCTTTTTATACATGTATTAGGAGAAAGTATTGTTCCTGCTAGAGTTGGAGGGTTGAATTAAGAGGGGAGGTCTCCCAGCATGCTCGCTAGATGATCAGAGCTGAATTAGTGTATTTCCCTGTGGGAGATCATTCCACAATTGAAACTCCACTACTGTCAGTGCTTATTGCTGAGACTGAGGGCTGTTACCCTACCCAGTGTTAGGGACCTTAGCAGTGATTGCTTACACTGGAAGGAACAGCTATGATATAGACATTGATGACCAGAATCAAGGCCTTGTTTAGGTGACAGAAATGGACTAAGAATTGGTGGACAAAGAGGGGTATGTGCACTTGCAAGGCATTGCACAAGGCTTTCCTAAACTGTAAAAGAAACTCTTGTGTATCATGATGCTGATGTAGATGTGGGGAATTTTTTTCTTTTGTTTGCCAGTCAAGTGATTTTTAGAAGGCAGAAATCCCCTTTTTTGACTAATGTTTCAAAGTTGATACAAATTCAATGCAAAATTAACTGTAACATGAGGAGTGCTTTTGGAAAGTCTGCAACTGCATGTAAAATAAAGGTTTTCCAATTAAAAAGGATATATATTAGCCAAAACTTGGGTGTATCCTAGTGTCACGACAACAGAATGTCAACCAAAGTGCCTTTACCCTTACTTCTAGACATTAATATATTGTTTTCTCATTGTTTGACCTATTGTATTCTTGTATAGCCATAAATCAGTGATCCCTTGCAGTCTTCTTTGGGGACACCTCTCAGTTTTGAAAAATAAAAAATAAAAAAAAAATGAGGCCTTAGGTTATATTTAAAATGAGACTCTCTATGAACCTGCTAATAGTGGATTTCCCAGCCTAAAGGAGAAATAAAGTCACAGACATTAGTTGCTCGATATAATTTATTTCCTATTAGGATAAAAAGATCTATGTCGTGACATAGAAAAATCTCAATTAATTCAATTTTTAGAGACAAAAAAACAGAGGGAAAGGATGGTTTAACTTTGAGAAATGTCAACAGTTGAATTTTGGCAGCATAGATTTTTGTTCCATTTTACTCAGAACATTACACATTGGCAGATAAAGATGAAAAAAAGTGGCTTACAATTTTATTCTACTTCAAAGTGGAAAAGAAAAGTCTTACATTTTGTGGATTGTGGTCAATTGAATGTTTTTCTCCTGAAACTAAATTCTGGAGTGCCTTGAAGTCATACTGCATTTTACCTCAATCCACAACAGAGATCCCATCTGTCCCAATAACAGTGACACTGAGTAAAGGTCCTGAGATCGTAAAATGTGTTATGTTTGGTAGGATGTGCTATGCTGAGTTCCAGATATTTAGCCAAGTTTTTGCTCTGTCTTGTTTTACTGTGAGACCTTGGACAAGTCTTATGTGTCCAAGCTCCACTTCAGTGTCTCTGCTTCACTGAGGTGGGACAGATAAAGCAGAGGTAAACAGTGCATGTGTCTGGAAGTAGGTAGTATCTCCATTGCACTACCTGTTGGAGCTATACAGAAGAGCACATCACATGCGATATTGCATTTGAATCCATTTATTGCTCAGAAGGCAACAGGGGAAGCTCAGTAGTATCTGTTTCCTGAGCCAGTTCCACTTGGTGCACTAAGAATGGAGGTGTGAGCAGGTGAATCCCAAACTGCTCCTTGCTTTCTGCTGGAAAAGCTATGGAGTTAGTGGGTTGGCTACAGGATGGGTTGGTACTCTTCCATGAAAAATTCTCATCTAGGAAAGTGAAATTTCATCCATAAAAATCCTCATCTCTGTATAAAAATAAAACAAACAGACTTAACAATATATAAATCTCCCTGATTTAAAAAACAGACTCTAAGAATACCTGCTGTATTTCAACTAATCTTACCTTTACTCTTCTACTAGTTAATACATCTATATACTGTAACTGTAAGGAACCAAGGAATTCACAGTTGTTTTCCTCCGTGCTCATTGCAGTGCAATGGCTGAGATAATTCTGCAAGGAAAAAAATAAGTAAAAGCACGATGGAAGCACCTACTTTTTACATTGAATCAAATAATTTTCAGCAACTTTTCTTTTCCTTCAAACACAGCAAAGTTCCATGTCTTCATCTGGCGCAACTCATCCAAGTTTACCAACTGTAGTGATGTTATACTGCTTTCCACCAGAAGAGCTGACCTGAAATGTTGCAAAATGATCTTGGCTGAGGCTCAGTCATGAAGACTTTCTGGGAGAAAGGCTTAAATATTTAGTCTAAATTCCAGTTTGTATACCCTAGAGGGATACAAAGAAGTGTTTGACTGTGGCTGGGGGTCAAAATTCCAAATCATATCTTTTTTAGTGTACTTTAAACTGCAGAACAATTTTGATCGGTTTCTCTAATTGTACTGAAAAAGATATTTTTATTTCTTTAAAATTAATCTGACAATTTTGAGCCAAATTCAATGTTTAAGAAAAGGCTATGTGATAAGAGGAAAAGCAAAACTGGAGGCTGGATATCGCTTTAGATCTGTGTTACTTATGTGACAGCTAGCACTGTCATGGTTCTACCAGGGACAGCAGAGTGGCTGTAAGGGCCGTGTCCCCATCTTTCGTTCCTTTAGCACCTACAGGTATGATGAGTGTACTTTGTAGTTATCCCACCTAATTTGCAGACATACTTTACCCTGCTTTGCTACTTAGTTTGGACCTGTGCCTGCCTGTTGTGTTTCACGTTTGGATTGGCAGATAACTTTCCACATTGTGCTCCTACTCACTATCATGAGATCCTGCTCCATCAAACACTTCCACCTCTGATTTATTATTTGCCCATGAGTAATACTGTTAAAATCATCAGGGCTGTGTCTGTCCTTGTGTGTAAAGGTCTTACAGATTCTACTCTCTGAAATTCCTAAAGCCCTCCTGAAATCCTTCAGTGAGATAAGAAACCAGTGAGCCAACATTAGCTAAACATTTCAAATTTTGGGATGTTCCTTTCCTCTGGTGAGGAGGAAAGAGAAAGGAGAAGTGTTTACATCAAATGACATTCCAGAAAGCTGCAAGACAGCTGTCATTTGTCTTTTGATGGTGCATCTTTGTAAGATATTGTCATGATGGCTGTTAATTTTCAGGTTAACATTCCTATGAAGAATGGGGATATTGTAATGCAATTACATTGCTGTCCACAGTGCAGTTTGAGAAAGAACTATCCTTTTACTGCTTGAAGGCTGAATAAAAGCCATCATGGAAAATTCTTATGAAAGAACAGAAAATATTACCCTTTTAGTAGACTTTTTAAAATTCTTCTAAATTCAGAATGTAGTTAAATGATATCTCTGCTGGAGAATAGCTTAAAATAACCTGCAGAAAAGATAACATTTTAACTGAAGAATATAATTTAATAGACATTTCTATGGAGACTCTTACATTTCTGTAGAACATCCGTATGAGTTCTTTTAAAGTCTATAAGACTCTTCCATTTGTTGACATTGCATGTCTATAAAGGATTTTCAGAGAATTCTCAAAAGACAGAAAGCAAACATTTCACGTACGAATATGTGGATTTAGTGTCCAGAAATATGAAGTAATGCAACAGAAATATCAAAAAATAAGATAGAAGCAATGAGTAGAGCCTAACAGGTGAGTAAATAGGTAAAGTATGGCAAATTAGTTTTACATAAATAATTTCAAGGGGAGAGGGGGAGATAACAGTGTTAGATAATGGCATAAATGTGCAATAAGATTCCTGAGGGATGTATTTTTAGAGAGGAAGGTAGTATGCCTGCTATTCATGCATATTTAAGCGCGTGGTTGATTGCTGTCACTGAACTGCTCAGCTTTACTCCGACTGATGGTGTTTGGAATGTGTAATGAAGGCAGAGGGTGGCCACGGTTCTTCCTTCTCTTTATTTATGTGTGCTTTTTAATTTTCAGAATGCCTATGTCAACATCAATCGGATCATGTCTGTTGCGTCAAGGCTTTCCGAGGCAGGCCATTATGCTTCCCAGCAAATTAAACAAATATCTAGCCAGCTGGATCAAGAGTGGAAGAGTTTTGCTGCAGCTCTGGATGAGCGCAGCACCATCTTAGCCATGTCTGCTGTCTTTCACCAGAAAGCTGAACAGGTGAGCTGCTTTTGTGACTGGCTACTTAGATAATGATGATGCTGCAATATTACCCGATGGCTTTTGGCTTATATGCAGTGTGGTTAAGAGCCTCGTTCCTGCTGGATCAGTGTCTCAAAACCAAATAGTAACGTTTCCCCCAAAAAACTGGCACATGTTCCCTGAGTGGGTAAGAAAATATGTTCATGCCTCAGTGATGAGAAACAATCTGATCATGACTGAAGTGCACTGGTGCAGTAATATGCTGCCTTATTTCTGTTTCCTAATATTTCATCAGTGCTGTGGATAAATTCAGGATTATTACAGCTAGGAAAACAGCATATATCTGCACTCATATGCATATGTGGTATGTGCTATGTGCACAGGAATATTGACACATATGACATAGACCCATACCAGCAGACAATATCTAGGAGCCAAAGCACATTATTGTTAATGAAATTTAAGGAATTCATTGCATCACTTACTCCTGGGGTGCTGTCCATAGCCCCAAACTTCATTAGACCTCACTAAGTAGAGACTTCAGAGCGAGGAACATCCATGAAAATTTTTCATGTCCCTGAACTCTGGTTTGTGTCTTTAACAACTGTTAGAATTGTTTCATAATTTCATAGCTCCAAAACATTTAAAATATGTTAGTGAATAAACCTTCTGCTATTTTTACACCTAAACCAGGTTCACCTAATGGTGATGGTTCAACTTTGATCATACTGATTACATTAATTTTCCAGTGACAAACACTGCTTTGGGGCTCTCTTCAGTATTGTTGTGTGCTTGTTTTTCCAAGTAGTTAATGTCAAAGCTACTGAGTGGGTGTGCTTGATGTTTATAAAATGACCCATTCTTCAAGTGTTTGACAAAGAAATTATAACTGATAAACCAGAAACTGTGCCTCATATTCCAGAATATATGTATGGAACAGTTTAGCTCAAACAGTAAAGATTTTCTTTATTGTTTGTTGCTGACCATAGAATTATAATGGATTTTTCTTTATTTTGTGTTTCCTATTGACAACAGGCCATAGCATAGAGCAATTACTCACCCTACTGGGCACTTACTCATGTCAGCACACTCAGTGGCTCTGATGGACTGATACACCAAGAAGATGTCCAGTACAAGTACTTTGATCTCAGTACAATGGGCACTGTAGTGTTTGGGTGTAGTCTTCATGTTAATAATTGTCAATCATATGTTCATAAAGAAAAATCAAAAAAGAATTTATATGCAGTCACAATGAGAATGTTTAAGGTCTATTAATGAATTAGTTCTTTCTTTTTTGTTTTGGTGTGTTTGGTGTTTGGGTTTTGGGGGTTTTGACCTTATTTTTTTTACCAGTGACCCCCTATTTTTCTGAAGTGACAGTCTTGTTTGCAATTTATGAGGAGTTGCCAAGGTATTGTATAGCATGAAAGGCAATAAAACAGAAAGCTGTATTGAACCGTCTGTCAAGCTAGAAGTGAATTATTTTTTTTTCCTACCTTTTGAACAGTGTCAGTGGGTATTTTGCCTCAGCCTTAACTTGAAAAAAAGCTACACTAATGTCACTTTCAGCTTTGGGTCTTTTTTTTCTTTAAAATTGTATTGATGGGTCTAAAAAACCCAATCCTGCCTTAGCACCTCTTCATAAGGAACTCAAGTTTATGCTGCCTGACAGAAACCAGTCTCTCACTACTAAGCAGATAGGAGAACTGGCTAATTGTGAACAGGAGTTGCTCCTCACTTGTGGTAAGAGACAATTCAGTGAAAGATAAGTGCTGATGTGAAGTCTGTAAACTCATCTGCAAAAAAGAAATGTGGGAGTCATTGTATCCATTATCCAGGACCAAAATTTCGGCCTTGCTTTAGTAACTCTGCTGGATAAAACAATGACTTGAATGCTAATAATTTAGTGATTTGACCTCTGTACAGTATAAAAAGTGAGGTGTTTGCGATTTGGTCTATAACCTCAGTCTGTTGTCTATCAAACATTCATTCCAAATGTGACATTCTATTGTTTGGCACCAGCCAGGGTTTGTTTTTTGGTTGGTTTTTTTTTAACTTATTTCAGGGCTTCATTATTTTACAATAAATAAGGCTTAAATCTCTGAAGCAAAGATGTAGATAAACCCACTATTTCCTTTGTCCCAGATCAAATCTTTTTTTTGCTCCCTTTGTTCTGTCAGTAAAGGTAGTCTTGTGGCGGATCCAACCATTTCTCCCACAGTGTACCCCTGCTTCCCTCATACCAATCTGATACGCAGATCATCTTTCCTTCTCTAGTGCAATAAGCTGCTACAGTCTTTTTGTTCATTCCTTCCTATTGATTGAAGTTCTCTGTGATGCCAACAGGAAGCAAGTCTATTAGGACTGTAATCTTTCAGCCTTTGGCACACTCCAGCCTGCAAGGAAGTTGTTGGCTTGGGACAAAGATTTATGAAAAGCTGCACGATCTTTATAATATGCAAGCTGAGCAGGAAGCAACTTGTTTTTCAAGGTCTCTTCCTAAAGACCCCACACAGAAAACTGCACAGAATACAATTTGTCTGGCTTGGAAGGATGAAAGGCTGAGTCAACCCTGCTGGGAATTGAACCTCACATCTGTCTTCATGTGCCTCAGAATCACATTGCTTTCCTGGCTCTTATTGCAGATACATGTGGCATGTTGAATGGAGTTCAGCTGAATGAGTTCCTGGATCAAAGCTTTTTTTTTTTTTTAATTTGTTTCTTTCTTTTTGTTCTTTTGTGTGTGTGTGCGCACGTGTGTGTCATCTTTGAATTTTTTTAAACACAGTTTGTACATACTAAACCATCCTCAAGAAAAGGGAAGAAAAGGAAAGAAAGAAAAGCCAAATATTGCCAACGTAGCCTTCAGACAGACTTCCATCAGCACACGTGTATGATCAAAAGCCAGTAAACTAAACTTCAGACAACCACTACATCCAGGTTAAGATGCAACTCAGGATATTCAGTGGAGGTGTTTCCTAAATGTCCCTTAATTCCACCTGCTGCAAATGTTTTGGATTTGTGGAGTTTTTTTCTTCTTTTGTCTTTCTTTTTACCCCTCCCTTTCTCCTGCTAGATGAGATATCTCATGGAGATATTCTAGTGCGAAAGAGAATCTGCTTCTGTACCTTTAGGTATGTCTGAGGCTATTCAAAGTCGCAAGAGAACACAGGGGAACATGCTTTATCTCACTGTGCTGATTTACACCAGATGAGATTCCAGCCCAGTAACTGCCACATGGGGGAAGCCGACACACTGGGTGTCCTCCCTTTCTTGGATGTAATCTCTGAAAGTGTGCTAAAGTATTCATAAGATGCTCACTGTACAGATCCTGTCAGAATGAACAAATTAATGTCTTCAATCAGCTGAGAGGTCTCAACCAATTAATTCTGTGTCAGTCCACCCTCAGAAGCACAAGCAGAATTACTATTTAAAGTAGTAGGTGTTAGGTGTACTTGCTAGACATTTATGCTGATTCTCTGAAAACTGACCCCCTGACGATTTGTTTTATATTACCTTACTCCCCAAGCAGGAAGGCTACTGGTCACTGAGGAAAACATTTTCATGGCCTTCTTCCCATCTTTCCTCACGGCCATTCTGGAGCGTGAAATTACGCTAGAGTTTGGTTTTAATTTCTCCAGGGCCTAGGAGAACCACCCTGGTTATCCTGTAGCTTCCACGCAGAGGCCTAGCCAGCAGTAAGCAAGGATTGTGCAAAAAGTGTGGAGAAATATGGACTACAAAATGTCTGAGCTGTGTGTTTTGGAGCAACCACGTGATACAGCAAAGCAGTCCCTGACAAAAGCTAGTAAGAAGTGGTCTGAGAATACATTATTACCTGACCTAATACAGAATTTGCAACTTAAGTTGTGAGTTGGGAGTAAGCGGAGGTCATAACTCTAAAGATTCTTCTGGATTGGATCAGAAGCACAAAGGTACCTTAGGGAAGTTTTTATTTTTTCAGAGAAATTTTTCTTGATCTTTCCTGAAGTCTTGAAAAACATATTTAAGCAGCTTTTATATTCCCAAATGGAGCTATTCTAGTCTATGAGCTAATTAGAAATTTAAGCAATTAATTTAAATGGTATTGAGTATCCAGTGGACAGTATCAGCTCCTGTTCCAACCTAACAGTTAGGAATTTACAATTTTAAATGCATCTTTTTTTCAACCAGATGGTGATTTTGTGATATGAATAGGTTTCTAGCATGAAGGGTTACATTTATTAAAGTTTTTTGTGTCTGCCACACTGTGACAAATAATAAAAATTAACACAGCTGCTTTTTTTTCAAAATACCCACAGAACTTTTCAAAAATTCTTAAAAACCCCCATTTGCTCTCCCTGTGTGAATTTACACACACAGCGCAGACGACCATGCACTGTTTCAGGGTGTCAGAGTAAAACAGTCAGGCTGCATTTCTTAAAGCTTTTTTAAAAAGTTTTGAAAAAGTTTTTAAAACAGATGATGTCAACTGCTCCTGCTAGTGGCAGAAATAAAATTACTGATGTAATTGTTGATGTGACATTGTCTGTATACAATAGATATACAAAAGAAAGATGTGAGACAACAAGGTGGAAATGTGGTTATGTGCATAGGATCTTCTTGAGGCTTCTCCCACCTACTGTGCAAATCATAATCTGGGGATATGGCAGTATATGAGTAACGTAACTATAAGAGCTTGTACTAAAATTGGTAGAATTCGGCAGTTTTGATAAGAGCCATAACAGTGTGATTCCAGCAGCAGCAACACTGGTCTATAAGGTGTAAAGGTCTTTTGTTCACCATTTCGACCAAGAGGTTCGTGTAACAGCCCCAAATGGGATTGATCTCAGCTCCATGCTCTTAAAACTGCATAGGAAATGATATGAATTCGACTACCTTGGCACAAAATATGATGACTTCAGCTTTATGCAAGGGTGTGTGGGGATTTCATCTGAAGAGATTCAACAGATCAGGAGTCAAAGCAATGCAAGAGAACCTGCCATCCTTGGCTCCAGTCTTCTAGAAAGCACAGTTCGCACTGGTAGATTTTTACTTTGTAGATATGAACGTTTAGGAATTCATCCTTGTCACTGACTCTTTGTGCACTGAAAAGAAGTGTTTACAATGCAAACACTTTATAGCCTTGATTACACAGCAGCATGGTGAATAGCTTTACACTGCTAATAAGAAAGGATGCTGATGCCAGAGCTGAAGTTGACTTGAAATTCTTTGAATCTCACAGCCCTTCATGCTGTGAGTGAGTGCTTTACTAACAAGCCACAGGTGAACACTTCAGGAGTGGATAAAGCTGTGATCCTGAGGGTGGTTTTGTGGCAGTATACATTCACCCTACAGGGCACTGCATCTGTTGTAAAATTAGCTGTTCTTTTTTATAAATAGCCCCAAAGTATGGTAGGCTGGTTTAACAGAAAAATGGAGGAAGACAAAATATTAATGAGAAGTAATGAGGTGGCATTAGGCAGTTAGTATGGACAAAATATGAACATGTGAGCTGTGTCATTGAATTAAGCCCTGCTTAAAAGAAAAACAGGACGGGAACCTTAGAGACTAAATTCCTCCTTTCTTTTACAGAACAGGCAGCACCCAGGAGAGCCTCCCCAATTTGTTCTGCCAAAGTGCATCAGCACTGCTCTGGAGGCCTTTAAGAGTGGAAAAATATTTTTTTCCATCCCTTTGCTCCCCGAAGCTGTTTAGTTTCTGGCTGTCTGTTAAGGCTTCCAACCAAGGTGCTAAACCATATCAATTGCAATGGTGATGATTTTTTTCTCCCTTTTTGTGGATGTCTGCCCACCAGGAACTGGACTGAGACCAGCAGCTCATTTTGCATTGGCTGCTTAGCAGCCGTCAGATGGTAATGGTATCTGATCACTGCTGACCTGGGCCAAAATCAAATGTGTGACCCTGGAGTTTAAAGCCTTGGTATCCTATTAGCAATCCCACTGAGCTGGCCCTGGGTTGGGAACTGCTCGAATACAGGCTGTCTGCCTTTCACTGAAATGAATGTCAGCATTGATTTTAATGGGAGTTTGCTATTGCTCAAATTAGTAGTGTTAAGGACAGGTAAGCAACTAAGGGAAGGTTGACAGCAGAGACACTGCTAAATACAACTGGAGCTGTAACTGTGCCCTTCTGTGCTTCACGCTGATGTTTTTTTCTAAACATGTTGCAGCCTCCCTTTTTGAAATGCAATGTTGTAGCCTCTTAGAATGGGTGTTTTCTGAGCCTGGTTAAAGAAGTTTTTTTTAATCCAGAAGAAGAAGAAAACATTCCTTTGGATCTAGGTGTTGTTCAAGTACCAAGGAGGTGAGAGGAATGTGACAGGGTCCCCAAAAGGACTCCTTTATAACTGTTACATTTTCTTCAGTCCTTGCTGCAGTTGTATGTGGCACTCTGCAAACAAAGTTTTCTGATATTGATGACATATTGTTCTGTGTCACTGTTGCTCATTGTTCTTGGAATTGTTTCAGTTCCTTTCAGGTGTGGATGCCTGGTGCAAAATGTGCAGTGAAGGAGGCCTCCCCTCAGAAATGCAAGACCTGGAACTGGCTATCCATCATCATCAGACCCTGTATGAACAAGTAACACAGGCTTATACAGAGGTATGTGCTTCCCAGAGAAGCATGGGAGTACTTTATCCATTCTGCTCTCTGTTATTCATGTCTCCAGGACTCAAGATTGTTGGGAAGTAATCCAGAGATCACCTGAATTGATCACCTTGGGTTTAGTTGTATTTTTCATTTCCCTGTACTGTGCTGTGCTTGACTGTCTGTCTGGGTATCAAGGGATTTTGCTCCTTGCAGGGTTTTCCAAGCTGGACTGGAGGGCTGTGGACTGTGCTTGCTATACTTAGTAAGTTACCAAGTGAAGACTCCAGAACAGAACATAACAACTCTCCTCCATACTCAGCCCTTGCTCTGGTCATTCTGGTTCTTGGAAGAATCTATAGTATAAAATAGAAGAGAAAAGGATTTGCTAATCTAGACTTGGTGGTAGGCACTCACACATACACAGTGAAGTTGTGCAGATACCTTGATGATAAATGTAAGGAATGTTAGATAGAAATCTCTTATTTTCCGAACACTTGTAAGAATTTGGGAGTTAGTCAATTAGAATGATGAAATCTGGGTTGCAATCACAAAAGGCAATTCCTTATTCAATACTCAAGCTTCTCAGGAACAGCAAGTTGTGTGAGCAAACACAGAATAGTCCTGTTGACCTGTAGTTGCAACTGTGAATTTTATACAAGTGCCTAATCAGGTGAAACTAAGGTTTTTTTGATTCCATTTTAAAATTATTTCTAAAAATTAAGTCAAATTGGGATTAAATAAAAAATAATAATGTTTGAAACTGTCATTTTGTTTATCAGCCCCAATCTTAGTTTTTGTGAAATGAAAATTCATTTAAAAATCATTACCAAAAGCAACCTTTAACATGCATATTGCTTTTGCTGATGCTTCCTCAAAAAGCTATAACTTGTTGCAGACACAGCTGTTTAAAACATTTCTATATTATTACTAATAAGTACATTTTTAAACAGTATGTAGAATTGCCAGAAAGGTTACAGCCTGTTATTTCAAAAACGTTCATCCCTTTTCCCACAGCTACATGGTGCGCTGAAAAGCCTGGATTAGACTTAGGAGTCCTGCCTCCTATACACATGCCTATTTCCCCAATCTAGATAATGCCCCTTGCCCATAGAAAATAATGTTTCTTCCCTCTGAGCTCTCTCTGGTGGGATGAAAATTGTAGCTTTTTCTTTCCTTTCTTTTCCTGCAGAGTCTTTGAAAATCTCTATTTCTATAATTGTAAGAGATTTGGAATAGAATGAATGGTCCTTGGAATAACCATTTAATATGGATATTTAATAGGATATTAATTAACATTTAATAGGATATATGGGCCTACTCTGTTCTTTTACAGAGTAACAAAGCAGTTCAGATTCACTGCAGGAACCTAAGAAAAGATGCCCAAGAATCTTAGGGAGACTTTTTTTTCCATCTTGCCATGGTTGTAGCCATAATTATTTGCCTCCTTTCCTTTATTGCAGTTGAGTGAAGCTCAGAAATAGTGGAGGCAGAGATCATGGGCCTGACATGCAGTCCACAGCTAAGCAATCCTCTCCTGTGCTAAGCTGAGCTGCTGGCACAACAGGCCTTCTTTCTTCTGAGGATCAAGTGGTGCTCTTGCTTTTCCTTTGGGTACAACAGTGCTGGAGGGCGGAGATGCACGTGAGATGTATGCCTTTGGCAGATTCCCCTCTTGAAAAAAGAGTTCTTCTAGATGTCCGTAGCCAGGGTGTGTTTATGTTGCTCCACCAGTGTTTCTAGTGGATGAACAGCAGGAGACAAACTTGGGACACCCCAACTGAGGACTGTACTGATTTGGTAAAGGAGGGAGAAAGAGAGACAGGTTTTCTCCAGTCAGGCTTGAGCCTGGTTGATAGTGAGAGCATCTTGTTCAGTGTGACTTCATTAACTGCACTTTACCATCTGTTCCCAGAGGCATGATATATTTGGTCTAAAGACAATTTTTTTTTTTCTTAGTGCAAATTGTAGCTGTTTCACAGATGGCACCGTTAGTCTAGGCACTTGCAAGGCTTTGGAGTTCTTTCTGACCCACTGTATAGAATATCTACAGATTTTAACTTATTCCCAAGCTATGTATACAGCAACCACGCAGATTATTCCACTAGCACAACAAAATCTATTTTTTGGTTCACCTAAGGTCACATAACTTCTTACAGAAGTATTTGCATACTGCCCATCCTAGCCCTTCTCCTACCACGAATGCAGGAATATCCATATGACAGGAGTGTATGTATGTGTTGTGTCAGGTGGTGAGTTAAACCTTCCCAGAGAGCCCAGCGGCAATTCTGTACTTTTCAAAAGAAGTGAAAAATGGTCAAATTCACTTTGACAAATGCAGCACTGGCACTTACACCTTACAGGGACTGCAAGTCACGCTGCTGCAGGTCCATTCAGTTTAATACTTTTGCAATACCCCTTAAAAATACATCCTAAGTGAGCCGTAAGTGAAGTGGTGCAACTAAGCTGGGTTGTTGGTGCTTGTCTCTTTGCACAGTCCTTGAAAAATTCCGAAGATTCACATGAAAAGAGATTTGGTGATTTATTTTTGCAGTTATAAGGAGAACACATAAATGGCTGAAAGAGCACAGTAGGTAGCGTCTCCATTTGTGAAACTGTTCCTTTCTGAAATCTGTTAAATGGTGAACTCTGAGAGCACAAACCTTCTGTGCCCATTGATTGGGAATGCAGTAATATTCACAACAAAAATATTTTCAGAAAGGAAACTGTTTTAGCCAAAGAACTTCGGAGCTGCAGAAGATATGAAATCCTGGAAATTGTACGTAGTCCTTGCGAATGCTGAGTACCACTGGTTACCTCATTGCTGCTGTGCTGCTTGCCATATATTTACTCCAGCATGACCAGACAAGTATGTAAATTGGAGAGCAGGAGAACACTTCTAATAGCCTCTCATTTGTGTTAATGATTATTAGCAGGACAACAGAAGCACTTGAAGTCTGGCATTTATCTCTGGCTGTGCAGAGAATAACTGGAAGTGTATGTCCATCAGGGGAAAACCATAACTTGTAATCTCTGAGGCTTTTTAGACAGACAACAGGAACAAATTATTGTGTGATAGATGAAAGCCTAAATCCTATAGAATAAAAAGGAATGAAGGAGAATGCAGAAGTGTATTTGGTCTTTACCTCACACTACAGATCTGGGAGAACGTTGTCCTGCCTCCGCTTCGGATAAAGCAGGAGCATATAAACTGTTGTGTTTGAAACATTCCTTTTGCTCTGCATTGCTTCCGCCACTGAGACCTTTTTATTGTAAAGGCCTTGTTGGCTGTATTCACCTGCTAGTCAGCTCTGGAAGAGCACTTTTTTGTAAGATGACTGAATTTAGTCTGGTGTTTTGATTAGTTGTGATTAGCATACAGAATATTTCACCCAAAGATCTGACCCCACAAAATGGTTGAATTGCAGGATTATACCTCCGGGGGGCAAAAACCTGACATGCAGGGCCTGCACTTGGGAGACGGTGTAGGCACGAATAGGTCTATATTATGGCACGAAGTTTCCAGGAAAGTTCTCCTGAGTAAAGCATGTGTCTCAATATTGTCTGTGCAATCACATATTTCTTACTGGTAAACTTTTGAATCTTTATTGTTAATCATGATTCTGCTGTGATTTCTATCAGTGTAAATCAGCAGGGACTATACCGTGCATCGTAACACCACCCAGGGACATATTCACAGGGACATTTTCAGACCAACTGTAAGCCTGAAGGCCAGTAACAGGAACATAGTGAATTCACACAGTGAATTTAGCCAGTGCAAAGAGTGAGTTTCTGGTCTAATAAGCTGCTCTCAAGTGTGTGCATAGCCTTGGTTTCCTGTTCCCAGTGATTAAATTGTTGCTGATTATCTTCCCACAGATAAAATAGGATGTAGTATGCCTTATGTCCTTCCCTGTCTAGAAGCTGCTTCTTCCTGCCTAGCAGCTATTGCCATCTCCATAATGTTGCCAAGGTAACACCTGTGCCACAGTGTTTCCTCCTAAAATCCTCCCTCTTATTGCCAATATCCACGGCTGTTGGCAAGTACAGTCATTCCCTTTGTGACCCCAGCAGGCTCCAGCATGTGCAAATTGTTCCAGCTGGTCTTCAGCAGCAACTGAATTTGAGTATGGAAAGCCACTCCCTACGGACTCTCCGGTTATTTTCTGATTTAATTCCAAATTTCCCTGAATATTTAAAAAATCTCCAAGGACCTACCTAAGCCTACCTAACAGTCATAAATATGATGAGATTTGACTCCCACTTTTGCCAGTATCAGTCTCAAAGGCTCTCTTGATTTCTCTGAAAATGCACCAGATATACACTGCTACAACAGACTGAGACGTGGCATGGCTTGCCAAAAGACACAGGTTTGGGTATTAAAGGATATTTGCTACATTTGAACAAGCAACTTATAATACAGAAATAGATCAGACTTGGAAATCCTTGAGATGTGTTTTAACTTTGGCTGATCATGTTCAAAATTTAAACTGGATGAAAAACATTCATAAAGCCATTTTCTGGCAAGGTTGGTGATTGTGATTGCATAGAAATAAAAACACTTTTCAGAAAATCTTGTCATTTTCCACTGCAGTTTGTTTCAGAGGAAAAAGAGAAAAGTGGGCTGGGAAGAGGAGAGGGATTCCAATAGTGTCCTCAATTACCATTTCTGTTGAACAAAATATTTTATCTTTGCAATCTGCAACATATTTCAAAAAGCCATTTTTAGAGAACCAGTGCACACACGCATTTGTTAATAGCAGTTTGGTTTTTATGGTTCTATTTTTCATTTTGCCCCTGCAATATGAAAATGCTCCAGGACTATTCTAGGAAAAAATCTGGTGTTAAAAAATCTGGCATTCTGGGTTTTTTTAATGCCCAAATGCCTTTGCATCTGCAAATGTGTTTTAATATGCTCAAAAAAGGTTACACGTGTGCAGAGGGCTTTGCGTTTGCCAACAAACTTTGTAGCTCATTGAAAACGGAGACTGTAGATCCCTCTGAGCTGTTCCTGGGGAAGAAAAGAATCACTGTCATATAATAATTTATTTTTCACTTGCACTGAATGAACTACAGAGTCGGAATGTGACACTTCTCAACATATATACCTACTTAGTAATCCTACGAAGAAAGGACTCTCCCTTATCATACAGAATATGAATGACTCTGCCATCTGTGGTTTTCTTAAAATGCCACCTCCTCACAAAAATAGGCCCGCTATTGCAAATGCCACCTGTCATCAACTACTATATGTCAAGAATTTTCAGTGCCCGAGTGTCAGAACGTAATATAGGCTTGGGATCTCTGTCTCTATGTGTGCAGTCCCAGCAGTGCGGTATCTGCGCTCCTGCTGAGTGACACAGCAGGCCCACTAGGAAGCAAAGGCAAGTGCTGAATGTGTAAGTACAAGTCAAAAAGAGATGTTATAAGGTCTTTCTTCCTTTTTGGCTAGAGTAAGGAAAACACACAGGGGAAAAAGAATCAGCTAGACTGTTCTCTGTTGACTATTGGATGTTTAAGTATCAGTGCAGTGAAGTAGATGTGTTTCTTCACTCAGGTGAGCCAGGATGGAAAAGCCTTGCTGGATGTCCTCCAGCGTCCCTTGAGCCCTGGGAATTCTGAATCCCTCACTGCTACTGCAAACTACTCCAAGGCTGTTCACCAGGTGCTGGATGTGGTACATGAAGTCCTGCATCACCAGCGGCGCCTAGAGAGCATCTGGCAACACCGAAAGGTCCGGCTACATCAAAGGCTGCAGCTCTGTGTTTTCCAGCAGGATGTTCAACAGGTAATGTAATTACTAAAGGAGATAAAGAATGGCCCCTTCTTTGCAGCCATAAAGATTGTTTGGTGACTTATCTAGAGGATACTGCTATAACCAAGATTTCACACGCAGCGCTACCTATGCTAGAAATATGCTAAAATCCTAATGCACCTTTCAGTACCTCTTGGTTTCATGTTGGAAATCATCAATCAGTCCATTGATTATTGATCAGTCCATTCCCCACAAGAATGTGACACTGTTTTCAAGGGTTAATTTTTCACAAGTGAGCAATTAGCTGTAGGTGCTCTACTGTTCTCGAGAAAGTGATGTTTAATAGAAAAAAGAATTTCAAGTGTAGAAAGCAATTGAACTGTAGTGTATTTCAGGTTCCTATGTGGAAACAGTACAGATACAAACCTTTTGGTGGTGGTATTTAGATAATCTTTGCATTATTACTACTTCTGGAGTCCACGTACCTGTGCTATGAGGTTGCTGGCTCAAATGAACTGTGCACCCCAGTGTGCAGAGCCCACCTCACAGAAATACAGTTTGTATGGTGCAGGCTTACCTCTGAGAACTTGGGCTCCAGGTGAATAACTTTTGTCTCCTGAAGGAATCCACTTGAATACCAGCACAACAGCGTAATTGACAGTAAGTATGAGGTGCCATGTTTGTAGCTGCCAAATTTGCAAGCACAATCAACAGAGGTTACAGGACTCTAGTCATTCAGGATAGTGTGGTTTGTTTAAGGGCCCCATCACAGCCCTAAGCAGATGTTGGTAGCAATATGGTACTTGCTTTAAATGAAGAGGCTGAATGCTCTAATCATTTTAATGAAGCATTCAAATGTCCCTGGGGTTCTTTACGTCATTGCCTTCCTCCAAGTGAAAAATGAGGTGGAGACGGAGCAACAAAGCTGTCACATGTAAAATAGCAAGGATAGGAGACAGGCAACATATTCAACATGCAAATTTGTGATCTTGTTAGTGCCATAGTTGAAGTGGACCAGCACAGATAGAACTGCAGCCGTAGATATTCTTTGCAAATATGTACGACCATTTCTTTGGCAATCTTGAAAAGTTTGCCAGAATTTCTATCTGCTCATTTTTTCCTATAAAACTACACAAATATTCATGCCATATATATAACTAAAACTGGGATTGAATGTAACAGATGCTTAATTTAAGCAACTTCATTTTTGTTATGTATCAGCAAACATACTGCATGGTAATGAAATTCATAAGCTATACATTAAATAGAGCATGTACTTGGAATTCAGTTAGACTACTCTGCAAACTATATGAAGTTAATGCAATTTCAGAGTTAAAATCTCAAAAATCAAGGGTTGTAAATTCTGATGTTGTTATGCGTTTTCCAATTGTGGTATATAATGTCAATAAGAATCCATATTATCTCAGGTATTCTTCATCCCTTAGGGTGATTTACACTTTTGTTCAATCTTTCCAACCCAAAACTTTCTCTCTTACATCCCCTGAAATCCATAGAAGTGTTTATGAGGTTCATTCATTAAACCCATTCAGACTTTTACTTCCCACATAGGCAAGGCGATGAGGCTGTGTCACTGGTTTTCAAAAAGAACAGGTCTTTTGTACACACTGTGACTTTTGGTGAGAGGAAAAGAAACAAGCAGTAAGAGTCACTGGAGTACAATCACTTTAGAAAGCATCACTCCGTGTGAGATCTGTTGGCAGCAATCTTTCAAAATTTTTCTCTTAATGGGTAGTTATTATCTGGGAAGCAACAACTTTATGAAAGACATGTTTCTGTCCTAGCACACGCTTACTGGAGGCATCTCTTTGTCCTACTTAGAAAGTAGAGAGGAAGAGATTAATCATTCTCTACACTAAACATCTGTACTATTCAAGATAAATGCTTTGTAACTCATAAATGAAATTAACAGCTAAACAGAAATATGAAGTGTAGATTCCATGAAGAGGAGGAAGATATCTGAGTATGTTGATGGGATTATTTTGAAAATAATCACCTCCTATATATCTGTCATGTAATTCCTATTATGCTTCATTAAATGCCTATCAGTTGGCAGGCAAAGCTGTCTACCTGTATGTTGTCACTAATCATAAGTAAAATTTATCTATAATAATTTTTGCCTTGTCAAAATTTAATAACCTTTAACTAAGTTCTTCCTGGTTCAAGTCTAAAGAGAAAAGATGTGGGAGAACAAATCCTGACAGGAGAGCCCTGAGTTTATTAGACTTCGCTGTCTTCTAGACAAGTAATGATACAGTGTAGTTTCTCTTAAGGAAGATGCTCGTCTTCCCTTTCCACCCAGCTCAGAATTAAGCATGTTCTCACAGATGCAGTTTTCCTTGTCAGGATGTCCCATGGCTCACCCTCTCCAGCTGTTGGCCAGTGCAGTAAAAATTGCGGTGAAAGATGATCTCTGCGTCAGAACTTGCACTCCCTCACTTGTTCATCTATACCTTTCTCTTCATGTCAGCTGTTCTGTATCCATCTTGTCTTAAAAGCAGAGGTCTCATGTTCTTAGTATAGACTCCAGGATTATTTAGCATACTCTTACTCTGCCGTTAACAGCATTAATAGCTTTTGGTAAAGACACATCTCCAAGAAGAGATTCTTATGAACCTTGAGAGATCAATTATTTCTCACATAACTACTCTAGTTAGTCTTGCTAGAGGAATCAAGTATTTAGGCATGCAATATCACGTGTTCATAGGGAGGGGTTACAAAGCTGGTTAGCTGGATGAAGGCTTTATGTAGGCCATGTGTGTGCCTTTTGAACTGGATTTAAGGGTTAAGCTGTGTTAAACAGGGCTTGTTCATATCAATTCTGCACCATTTGCAAGGCCAGAGTACATGCTGTATGCATTACTGGCAGGTCACGGCTATGTTCTCAGACAGTTTCACACTGTCAAGAAAATCCTTTTGATTCTAGCTGGGTTTCAGTCTGAACTGCACAAAACCTGAAAACATTGAAAATGACAGATTAAAAGATACAAAAGTATTTTTTATTCTGAGATAGAAAGTCAGGCATCCTTACAGTCATGTCATAACCAAAATACAAGTGTGCTGTAGAAAAAAAAAGTTTAAATAAACCCTGTGGATTGCCAAGTTACAATATTAATGTAAGAAATGTTATGCTATAAAATGTCATTAGAAGTAATCACTACCTCACACCATCAGACATTTTACAAGATTATTTGCTATTACATCTATGTATTAATACAATTACATCAATTTGCACATGTGAACCAAGGTAAATAATGGTGTGCTAAGGACAACAAGTTATTAATATATAGCATTTTAAAGAACAAAATAAAATAAATGGTGTGCAACTGCATTTGCAGCCTTCACAGGAAATGGAGCACCATTCACACAAAAGGGATAGCAGATAAGACAATTTGTGAGCTGTGATGAGGCTCTACACAGGCACAAACTGACAAGGAACTCTTTTAACACCAAAAGTATTTAAGATCATTATAAAAATGTTGGGTTGCCAAGTGTGTAAAAAACTTCATTGCTTCAGTTGTTTTTTAGAAGTTCTCTATCCTTTCAGATAGGGAAGAGCTGTGCTGTTTGATCCTTTTAGAACACAGCTGTGGGAAGAGATGCTGAGATTCTGTCCTCCAAGGGAGGAAGAAAATCCCTTTGACATTCATACTGATATTCTGTAATTGCTGCAGATGCTTCAGCCCATTTTTAGGAGCTTTTCCTTTTTGCCCCTCCCTGCTCCAGGTCTTCCACTTCTGCAGACTATTTACCAGCACATTAATACTATTTCCATTTCTGTTGAGATTTGAAATTGTTCTCATGTTGTCTCCAATTTCCACTGCTTTCCAGTGTTACATCCCAATTTATCCTACCTGCCTCTGCATGCATCTCTCCACTTTAATATGTTCCCTTTGCCCCTGCGAACAGCAACAGCATGAAATAGCAAGGGTAGCATAAGAGTCGTACCATGAGCAGATGTTACCAAGCAGTCTTAGAAATAGCTGAAGAAGTTCTTCACCCCATTGCCTCCCCCATCCCTTTTGTTTCATATGGGCAAGAATTTTGTCTGAATTCTCTCACTCCATAAACTCATTCAAGTGAAGCTGTAAAGTCTGAAGTGTACCTCTTACAGTAGAAAGAAAATGGAGACCCATCAGATGCATTATTGAAATGGTCTGTGCAAGCCTTGAACTCAGTATGTTAAAGCATTTTCGTGGTAGAATAGTTAAACTGCTATTCTTATTCTGCAGGCTTCATTCCTTCTCACAGAAATTCTCAGTCTTTCCATCATTTCCATACCTACACACCAACACGTAGTCTGACATAGGCAGTCTTTTTTTCCACAGATTCACATGATTCTCTTGAGGTCACTGCTGGTTCTGCTTCCTTCTTGCTTCACTTTGGTTGTGATGGTTGCCTGTAAAGGAAGAGCTGGAAAATAGGTGGATGTGTGTGCTGGTGTTGGTTCTTGGCTGTGTACAAAGCCTTGAGTTAGCTGAGGTGGCTCTGCATGGCAAAATGGAACAGGCCACTCATGCCAGATGAAGACCAGTGGTCAACAGCAAGGTGACACTAACAAACATTTACTGGCAAGAGGGTAGGCATGTACTAAGAAAGCTAGGACTGTTGCCATGCCAGCTGTAGTGAGGTCTCAAATCCTCTTTGTGACTGAAAAGGTCAAGCTGGACCAGTGTCAGGTTCACCTGGATGCCTCTAAATTTGTGGATCTGTGTTCTGTTGGCTTCATGCCCAGATACATTAATGGACATAGCTTTGGTTTCCTTGTGTGCTTATCTGCCTCTGGTGATGGATAAAAAGGCCATGTGGCCATACTGATATCATTACATTTACCAGCTGCAATTGTGGTGGGAGACTACAAAGTATTGCAGAGGAAAGGCTGTCTCTCTTCATAACCAAGCACTTTAACTTGTAATGTGTCTGGTTTTTACTGGCCGAGAAAACAGACCAGGGCAGGATCCTGATATCACTTGTATGGAAAAATATCCTGCCAACATCTATCTGTCTCCATACAC